TAAGCAAGAGGTAGCTGTATACAAACTCCCATTCAAGCGACGAGACCAAGTATGCATCTCGAGATCTCGTATAGTCCATACGAAATTAACACACGATTACCTTCTGAGTAAAGAACAAATTCCATGTGCTACAGTTGTGATTGTGTAACTTCAGTGAACCATGTGCTAGTGAACTGCCCTTTGTACACCCTAGAACGACTTCTAGCTGGATTACCCACTTCATCCAAAGAGTGCTTAAACGGCTTCAATAATGACAAAACTATAAACTTTTTACAAAATGCAGGACTACTTCACAAAATATAGTGTAACATATTAACATTTAAATAACTTATTGTACCATGCTAATAATCCCGAGTAGTTGAAGCAATTTTGTAAATAAAAAAAAAAACTAAGTACATGACTGTCAAAACAACATCTGACAATGAAAATATTATCGCAATGGACAACTATACGTAAGATTTTCGTCCTATAATTATCCTCTTCTCTAATTTGGTTAATTCGCCTTGTTTTTGTTTGTGTAAAGGTGTGTATGTATATTCATATGTGTGCTGTCGGCTCTTTTGCTTGTCCACTTAAACCAATAACTTTGTGTTGCCTTTTTTGTGTTTACTTCCAGTTGAATAATTTTGGGTCCTCTTTTCAGTTACGTAATATCGTAGGTCTAGGCGGCTAGTAGTGCTTCGTTGCTGTAATGAATTCTGTACCCTATATTTCAGCAAGCGGGTTGTGTATATTTATTTATCACATGGACGCTATTCTAGGATAATGCGATCATCGTAATAAAGAAACGTGAACACATACTTCTAGAGCATATATGTGTGGCTTGTCTATATAAGGTCTAATAAGGCCAAATTTGTCTCCTTTTGAAAAAAATTGTGTTGTTGTACAAATAGTTTATTTAATATATTTTTGACACCGCTCATGTGATTTTGTTGAGATAATAAATTAGTTTATGAGTTGTAGTTAAAAATTTAACAAAACTCCTTCTTTTTTGTATTCTTCAATGACATAGTCATTTCTTGAAATAAAAATTTTAGGTAAATTATTAATTGTGAATTGACATAGGCAATTTAATAGAAATTATCTGTGATACATATTCTACTTAAAAATAAAATGGGCAAGGAAATTCCTAGTGTTTACTTATCTATCTTCACATACGTATCTTCATATATGCACTCGTCAGGTAAATATTCATCATCTACAGCTTGGGCTGGTGCTGGTCTAGCAAAAATACATTCATAAAATGCTTGATACAGAAATGTAAGGCATTAAGTCGTTGAGGTCTTTAATTTTTTATTCGGATAGTGGAATTCTCTGGTTGGTTAGTGGGGTTAGCGTAACTTTGCATGGACTACTGATTGATGCAAGCCCAGACAGTTGAGCTGAACGTGTAGCACATGTTGATTTCTTTCTTGATAAATCCATTACCTTAAAATAATCTGAATCAAAAGAAGTTTTATAAGAAACTTTTGAGCATCTATGCGATGCTGTAACCATCTTATGTGAAGCCAGGAAATATTCTTATTGTCAGTGTTTAGTTTGCGATGCACGTAGGGACTTTTAAGAATTTCTGAGAAATTCAGGAAATATTCCAATTAGGTTCGCTCAATCTCTGATAACTTTTATTTTAACAGTTGTGTATCTTTTACCTTTTTCAATAGCTGCATGGGTCATATCCGCTTCTTGATGAGTATGCCCCGGTTCAAGAAATTTATGATTGATCATAAGATCTCCCCCATTTCTGTTAAAATCTTCTCTCAAAAGAGACAACATAACTAAAATAACCCTTAAGCAAACGTTGCGATGTGGCCGGTACAAAAAGCATACATTAAGAAGTGACCGTTACGACATAGGCAATTCTCACATTAAAAATTTAAATCTCAATAGTGCCTAAGTCGACTTCTGCATTTCTTGTACAAATTTTCAGTTTAACCAGAAAACCTATATCTACATAGGAGTTTCTAGTACTAATTTTAAACGAGACTTCAAGAGATGGGTATTTCTTGATTTTATGAAAATGTGATTTTTAAGGTTAGATAAACTTAGGCATGTCTTGCATTAAAACCGTTGTGGTTTTTTAAGACACTTAGACCAAAAATGTCAAAAGTGCAAAAAAGTGACTTAGGCACTTCTTGTACCAAGCCACAGAATTATCTCTTCTTTGTCAACCATTTCCATCCACTCCTGAATGTAGGTCTCTCCCAATTACTTCCATCTTTCTCTATCTTGCGCCAATCTAATCCACTGTTTGCCTGCTACTGCTCGTATGTCATCTACCCATCTTTTTTGAGGTCTTCCCATGCATCTTGTTGTCGTCCTTGGTCTCCATTCTAGAATTCTCCGTGTTCACCTGTTGTCATTATATCGGGCTACGTGACCTGCCCAGCGCCATTTCATTTTTGTAATTTCTTTCACAAAATCCCTAATCTTCGTTCTACGTCTTATCTCGGTGTTTCTAATTGTATCTCTTAGTGATATTCCAAGCATGATTCGTTTCATTGCTCTTTGCGTTGTTTCTAATTTTTTGGCAGATTTTTTGGTAAGTGCTACTGTCTCCAAGCCGTAGGTAGAAACAGGTAGTATGCATGTGTTATACACCTTTTTCTTTAAGTTTATAGGAATGGAGGTGTTTTTCAAGATATGTGCTAGTTTGCCGAAAGCGCCCCAAGCCAGTTGTGTTCTTCTTTTAATTTCAGCATCTTGATTTGGTTTTCCTAGTTTGATAACATGACCTAGATCTACACAATGTTCCACATTTTCTATGGTATGATTTTGTATTGTTATATTTGTCTGGTCTCGGCTCAGTATTTTTGTTTTGCTGTAATTCATTTTTAAGCCTACCGCTCCTGAAACTGCATTTAATTGTTGTAACATATCATTTAGTTCTTGGATATTATCGGCTATTAAAACTATGTCATCTGCGAATCTCAAGTGGCTTAAGTATGATCCGTCGACGTTGATACCCTTATTGTTCCATTCCAGTTTCTTAAAAATATCTTCTAGAGCAAGGGTAAATAGTCTGGGAGAGATGGTGTCTCCTTGTCTTACTCCCCGTTGTAGTCTTATGGGATTAGTTTTTGTGCTTTCGTCCAGCTTTATATACATGGTGGCATTTTCATATATGTTTTTAATTATGTTAGTGCATCTTGAATCTATGCGTGTATTTTCTAGAGATTCAAGCACTGCCCATAATTCGATGGAATTGAATGCTGAATGGTGGTCTATGGTATTAAAATGTTTTCTGAATCCAGCCTGCTCGATAGGTTGATAGAAATCGTGCTTATGTGTTAGGCGGTTGGTTATGATTTTAGTTAGTAATTTATACAGATGTGATAGCAAGGATATTGGTCGGTAATTCTCGATGTTTACTCTGTTTCCTTTCTTGAATAGTAAAATGACCTCGGAGTTGTACCATGCTTGAGGAATCTTTCCTTCATCAATTACTTTATTAAATAAAACATTTAATACCTGTTCCATTTTTCTGCCACCAATTTTCAACATTTCAACTGTAATCTTATCCTCTCCCGGACATTTATTCGTTTTAAGTTGACTTAGGGCCATTCTTATTTCATAGTCGGTTATGTCCGGTATTTCTTCTGAGCCGGTGTTAATTATTGTTCGTTGAGTACGTCGTTGTTGTGGTTGTGTATTTACCGAGTATAGTTTAATGTAGAATTTTTCAATGACCTCCTTATTTCCTTTCTGTCTCTGACGGTGACGTTTTTCTCATTTTTTATTTCTATGATTTTTGTTGTGCCGCTTGAGTTTTTTGCTTTGAGTACTTTCATGTTGCAGTTATCTTGTATTATATTTTTTATTAGATTGTTATTATAGTTTCTATGATCGTTCCTGATTTCTTTCTTCACAATTTTGTTTAAACTTTTAAAGCTGTCCGAAGTTCGATCTGTTCTGTTTCGTCTTTCTTGGAGTAGTTTAATTGTATTAGGTTGGAGTTTAGATGTTTTGGCTGTTTTTGTGTTTGAGCATATTTTCTTAACCGATGTTGTTACACTTACTTTTATTTTAGTGGCTAGTCCGTTTATATCCATTTGTTTCAGCACAGAATTATAATTTTGAATATTTCCCAATTTTTTTAGGTGCCAAACTGTACACTGCTAGTTTGGTACAGAAAACAGGAAAATCTTTGTTTAGTTTAAAATTCTATATGGGTTTACATGTATCTACTGTACACTGTTAGTTAGTTAATGTGATTGAACATTTAACCTAATAACATGAATCTTTTTTTACGGGTATACGGGTGCGGGTATTTTAATGTAAAGTTCGGCTATCCACACTTTTCAATCTGCTTATCATCTTCCACTATTGAATTTAAATTAAGTTTTATTTGCACAGGTTTAAATTACACAAAAAAACATTTTTTGTTATATTCGTATGCCATTTATTAAACATACAAATCAGAACAATAAATACAAAGAAGTATAAAAAAAGTACATCTAAGACATGCACACGTCACAGCCATAATTGTATCAATGCACTAAAAACTAAAATTTAATAATAAAAATTATTATGACACATTCGTTTCTAAATCACTTTACAATTTTAATCTATGTATCACCGGCTACATTCGTTAGTTCCAACATTGTCCTAAACATATGTCAATCGATGAATTCACGCGTTGAATTTTATTGTATATGATTAAAATCATATTAAAATATTGGAGAACTAGAAACCAATTCTCAATGTCGAGTACGAATAAAGGAACTAGCATGCGAAGCCGAGGTTCAAATAAACCAAAATTTTACAGAACAAAGTCAAAGAGACATACGTACTGCTCCAAAATAAGGTAAAAGTTGTGATAACAAATATACAGGTTATATAATAACTACATAGCAGAAGATGAATTCTTAAATTATTTACATAAATATTATTTAAGATACTTTATTATATAAATATATATATATATATGTATATATATATATATATATATATATATATATATATAGATATATATATATATATATATATATATATATATATATATATATATATATATATATATATATATATATAGACAGTTTCGTTTAATGTATTATTATCAAATTTACAACGGAGAAACACCAAATTCTTTTTTTCTAGTCTACAAAATTTATTAACAGGATTAAAAAAAATACATTCCGAATATATCTGTCTTAGCTCTAAACTACTGTCTTCAATTTACCTTCAACTGTATAAAAAAGACGTATTCATTTGTACAAGATGTACAAAAATTTAAATATTTGCTCTGAACGAACGAAGAATTGTAGATTATTGTACATGCAAGACTGAGCCTGCTGTAGTTCACACTATTTTGTATTCCCACAGAAAGTTCTAGTATTTTTAATAATTGTTTTAAGTTTTGAATAAATATTTAAGATGAGATCACAGCAAGAAAATTCTACACTAGGTACTACAATTTTTGTTTTATAGAACAGTTTATACAATGAGTCAAACCAATGGAAAAGAAATATTAGCATTGTGATATATGGTGATATATGTATAATGTAACTATGGAAATATTTGAGATGTATAAGAATTTTGCTTGTTTTGAATTGAAAGAGAAATATCGTATTACCAATTTTACAGACTAAGTGGAATAACAACAAGTGGTCAGAAGATGTGAAAGAAAATATACTACAGATAAAGACAAACAACATGAAAATCTTTATCCAATATCAACAATATACACTAATCTAAAATACATATACCTAAATAATGAAAGAAAATGGATAGTTTTATCACCTGCAAAACATTCTCTTTACTATAAGAGTCTCGAAGGACGTTACAAGACGTTACAAGAACAATGAAGTTAAATATATATCATTATTAACAATATGTAGGTGTCAAAACAATGTGACAAAGTTAAACCAAAGTCTTGAAGATCCATATTAGATTACAAAATTTCACTAGACAAACAGGAATGGATAGACTAAACTCCAATAAAAACAAACAGCAATAAATTAAAATAATTCTTAATTTTAATTTACTAGGTAAAGGACCATAAACAGAACGAAAAAATAGGATATAGAAATAATGGCAGCGGTAAACCAAAGACAGGAAACATTACGAGAAAACAGTAGCGCACCTAGAATTGTCCTCTGGGGGGGGGGCTTGGTTGGGCACCGAAATTTTTTTATGCTACCTCCATCATTTTAAGTCCTTAAAATTTGTAAATAACAGTGTCGGAATAGGGTCCTGGGGGGGTTTGGCCCCCAAAACCTCCCCTGGGTGCGCCACTGCGAGAAAACCATTTAAAATGTTACCATCAAGAAAAAATACCAACTGTTATTAAAATAATTTGATGCTGCCAATTTTTCTCCAGAGTGAAGTCAATGTTTCTTGTTGAAATTAGATCATAAGGCTGTTTTATCGTTATAATATTTTGATCCAATTTTTTTCAAATTTAAAATGTAAGAATTCATCTTATAAATATCACCAATATAAACACAATATATATACACGCAATTCTTAACATACACTTATACTTTACAATATCACATATTAAACTCTGTTCACACGCACCATTCCTCGACTAAATAGAAGATTTTTTTTTGAAAATTGCATTGTTGGTGGCTTCGTATTGAATGCCCTATCACACTAATTAATTAATAAGTAGCATCGCTATTATTCCTATGCGACTTTGCCATAGGTGGTGTATCGGTAACACCATTTATGGACTTCATCTTCTTCATTACAGCACATAGGATACGCCAGGGGGGATTTGGTTTGTTTAGCACATCTCTGGCAAATTTCACGCTTGGTAGACTGGAACAAAAGAAATAATAAGTATTAAATATATTGTTAAAAGTTTAAATAAAAGCCATTACTGGTACGTTACATACTATTTCTTATAGTCTTTCTTATATCTTAAATAAAATGGAAAAATATTGGTTGTAAAAGTCAGTTTGATTTTTTTTATTGGAAGCAATTTATGTGCCTTTCGAAAGTGTAAGTATGCTGTAAGTATTAATAAATTGAAGATTGTAGTATATGGTTTACATACATGGTAATTAGCCTAATAAGCCACACTCTTAAAATTTTCCTCAGAATACTTCACAACAGAATTAGACGCAAATGTGAAGAAGATCTTGAAGATACTCAATTTGGTTTTAGAAATGTTATGCTAACAAGGGAGGCACTTTTTGCGCTTAACATCCTAGTACAAAAAAAGAAAAGATGTATTTGCATGTTTCGTGGACTTCAAAAAGGTATTAGATAAAGTACAGCATGTAAAATTAATGCAAATATTGAAAATATCGGAATAGATGACAAGGATATTCGTGTCATTAAAAATTTGTACTGGAATCACACTGCTATCGTAAAAATTGGAGATAACTACACCGATGAAATCTCTATACAACGAGGAGTCAGACAAGGTTGCATTTTGTCGCCAACATTATTTAATGTTTCCTCGGACCAGTTTTTTAAAAAGGCACTTAAGAGACAACCATATGGAATAAAAGTCAACGGGGAACTACTTTATGTGATTAGATATAAAAACCAAATTTTTAGTGTTTAGTCGTGACCCACATCCCGATTCAAAGCTTCAATTAAACGGAGTCCAAGTTGAGAAAGTTCACAAAATGACATATTTGGGAACTGTGATAACGGACCAACTTGATCCAGACATAGAAATAAAACGTAAAATAGCAATGACTAAAACTACTTTTATGAAAATGAAGTCATTTCTTTGCAATAACCATCTCAGTTTAGAACTAAGGCAAAGAATGGTTAAGTGATATGTTCGCACTTTTGTATAGTGCAGAAGTGTGGATGCTAAAAGTATCGATCAGGAACAAAATAAAAGCATTGGAAATGTGAATTCATAGACGAATGCTGAAGATACCTTGGACAGCAAGGAGAACTAATGAAGAAGTACTAAGAAGCGTCAACAAAGATAGAGAACTGCTAAAGACTGTTAAACACCGAAAAATATCTTATCTGGGACATATAGTAAGGAAAAGTCGATATAAAATAGTACAACTGATCCTTAAAGGCAAAATAAAGAGCCGTAGAGGTGTAGGAAGAAAACAAGTTTTTTGGGTAAAAAACATTCGTGAATGGTCTCAGATACCAAATGCCGGACAATTATTCCATATTGCAAAAGATCGAGAAGCCTTCGCAATGGTGATCGCCAACGTCGGATAATTCTAATATGGCACGCGAAGAAGAAGTATATGGTTGTGATTGGTTGTTATACGGCCTTTCCGTATACGAACTACCGAGATTTTAAGACTACACAAAACACAAAAAGGTGCGTAAGTGTACTGTATTTGTTGATTAAATTATTTATTATAAAATAAAGTCGACTTCATTGTATTTACAATGAGTCACTTATTTTACCGGAAAGGCAGCGGCCCCTTGAACGACTACCAATTCGATGTACATGAGAATTTTTTTATATAGATTTTTTTTTGCCCTTTTCTCTATTTGGATTGTCGAATATAGACCTTTCCTAATTCTCGCCATTCATCTCTACATATTTTATATAGAGATATATCTACCTAATATAAAAAATATTTGAAAACGCAACATACCGAAGAAGTATATGAGAATGTGTGAATAGTAAAGTAAAATAGATTAAAAGAAGAATAGCTAAAATAAAAAATAGAAAAGTAAATGAAAATGAAGAAACATCACAATACAAACAAGATTGGAAAGAATCGGTTAAAAATGGCTAATTATAAAAATACTAATAAATATAAGAAAAATTATAAAATAAATCTACTTAATTAATTGGACAATGTTAGAACAATCAAGGATTATAAAACTCTTAAGAGATCACGAGAAAACGATAAGAAAAATGTCTAGAAAATTTGATATATTCAAAATATATATAAAGTATTTATACTTACATCTCCGTCTTGACATGCGTTGTTCTGTCTCCACTCGTTTCCCGGTCTAGCTGATATTTCATAAGTGATTATCATTATAACGATTATTATATTTAAGATGCGATTTTTCTGTAACAAATAGAAAAATTTAGTTTTGTGCTGGTAATTTAATCGTAATACAAGTGTTATGAACTAACAAAGTTGTACTTTCTGATAAGAATATTTTCTAAACAAAAATGTCTGGAAATATTTGCATAATAAAATATATAAATAAATATTTAAAAATATCTTAAGGTTACCTTCTTATAAACTTAAAAAGGAAAATAAAAGTTGTTTTGCTTGGTATGCAAAATGTAAGTGTTAAGTAAAGTATTTTTATTTTTAATGTTTTCCTTATATAATATTTATAAAAACATTTCAGGATCATTAAAAAATAACAAATATTATTGACCAGTACAGATTTTCTTATTAAAAGTATATAAAAAAAATTAAAAGAACAAAAAAATGTTGAAAACATTTGAATTGGAGGAAAACAAAGACGATTTTTTAAATTAACTTTATATTTTGGCATTATAGTTTAAGACATATGACCGCTACGGCTGGCTCTGACGTAGTCTAATCTAGAGGTCCAATTTTAGATGACTTTTTCTAACATTTGTGGCCATATATCGGCAATAACGCGGCTAATGTTTTTTATGTGAATCGTTTCAGGTTTATAGGAGTAAACTAGCGACTTCACATTCCCACAGAAAATAGTCTGGCGGTGTTACATCGCACGGTTTTGGAGGCCAATTCACGGATCCGAAACGTGAAACTATGCGGTTACCAAACGTTTCTTTCAATAAATCAATTGTGTTACGAGCTGTGTGACATGTTGCGCCGCGCCGGCTAGTTGAAACCACAGCTCCTGTACATCATGGTTGTTCAAATGAGAGATAAAAAAGTAAGTTTTTCTGGATGTAATGGTGTCTCCTCATATGCTTTAGGATTATCTTCACTCCAAATATGGCAGTTCTGTTTTTTGACATAGTAATTCAACGAAAAGTGAGCTTTATCGCTAAACAATAAATTCGCTTATAAAAATCAGGATCAACTGCAATCTGGTTTTGGTCCCATTCACAGAATCTACGCCTTGCTGGGTGATTGTGTAGCTTCAGTTATTGTATGAGTTGGTTATTGCAATATCGCAAACCAAGATCTTTCCGCAAAATCCTCCATAAAGTGGATGGGTACATATCCAACTGCTGTGCAGGATGGCGGATAGACTGCTTTAGGTCTTCCTTTATGTTACGCTTTACATCAGCAACAACTTCTACTGTACGCACTGTACGACGTGTCTGTGGATGCGTATTATCATTTAGAGTAAACGTGGTGCGAAAATGTTCCATGGTTAATCGAATTAATTGCTCTGATAGACGATTATGTTGTCCATAAAATGGACATAGTGCGTGATACGTATTTCGAACAGAACCATGATTTTCAAAATAAATTTGCACAATTTAAAAGCGTTGCTCATCTTCGGTGTCAATTCATGCTGAAATGCCAAACTAAACTAAACATAAATTACTTGACAGCTATCAAAATAGCCGCCAGTTAAAAAAAATTTGTTACTTCCATTTCTATACCTCTAAAAAACACCCTTTACGTGAATTTGAAAATTATCAATTGAAGAGATTAAGATGAAAAAAATTATTAAATGATAAGAGAACTCACGATCTAATAATCACGAAGTAACGCAATGTCTAGTCCTTGGTAACATAGAAGCAAATACTGGTTGAGTTTTGTAGACACATGGATACAGAAAATTGTTTAATAATTTACACTGTATATTAGTAAGGTAGTTTTTCGTAAGAGTAGTGACTATAATAAAACTTTTTTTTATTTAAAAAAGCCGCATCAACCGTAAAAGGTTATTGGCGGGTGTTTAAGGTAATAATACTCTGAGTAAGGACTCATAAGCGTCCAATACTCCACAAGGAGAGATGGAACTAGAGAGAGAGAGAGAGAGAGAGAGAGAGAGAGAGAGAGAGAGAGAGAGAGAGAGAGAGAGAGAGAGTGACAGGGAGAGAGAGAGAGAAAGAGAGAGAGAGAGGGGGAGATAGAGAGAAGGATTTTAATACAATACAAATTCAAATACAAACTTATTACATTTTATGAAATAAATAAATGTCCTTCAGACATTTAATTGTATTGAATAAGTTACAGTTCAATATATTTTTAAGCTGATTTGATTCTTCAGAAATATAGTTGATGTATCGTTCATAAGTGGACATTGTGTAAGTATGTGTTGAACAGTTTTTTTGGTATTCAAAGAATGAGAATTTTCGTGGTAGCTGTTTGAATAGTAAGTGTTTATGGGTTAATGTTGTATGACCAATTCTTAGGCGATTTATAACTACTAGTTCTCTTCTCTTTTCTGCAAGTTGATGCTGGACACCGATAGAAGGTTTAATCACTTTAAAATTTATGGTATTCGAATCCCAACAACGCTGTCAAACTTGTATACAGTTTTGTTTGATATTAAGGTACGTATCTGTGACTAATTTTTTTTTTTTTTTTTTTTTGATAATGTTAAATGCTTTGATCTGAGGTTACTTTCGCCGCTAAGGCGTCAACTTCTAAGTGAAATACCTATAAGTGATGGTATCCAGAGGAAGTCAATGTTTATATTTTTGTTTTACAGGTAATGTAGCATAAATTTTATATTTTGGGTGATTTTATGAGTTGAATAGACTTCTTTTATGCTTTGCAGTACTGATATTTCATCTGAGATATCATCAAATATCGGTGTTTGATCTTGTTTAAACTTTAAATTCCCAAAGACATTTTTCAATGGGGTATTTGAAACTAAGTAATTATAAAGTATAAAGTATAAAGTAATTATAAACTCTTTCTAAGTTTATATATATATATATATATATATATATATATTGTAAAGACTCAGACCGTCAATTTATATTAATAAAGTACTCGACTTGTGAATTCAGAGGTTTAATCGGTCATTCAGGTTGGCAAAATAAAAAAAAGAAGTCAACTACTTCATAAGTTTAGAGAAGACGTTTGGCTTTATATTTCTAAAGCTTCATCAGTTCTAACTCAATATATAGTATATTAAAGATGTTGTTTATATATGTACATTTACTCATTATTTAGAACTAACTTAAAAAAAAAACACAAACAAAGAACACAAAAACTTTGCAAAAAATAATATTCAATCGTAGATACGAAGATTTAAAATTTTTTTTAAAACGAACATTTGGATTCATTTAGAGATGGTTCCGATTGGACCTGAATGACCGATTAAACCTCTGAATTCACTAGTTGAATACTTTATTAAATATATATATATATATATATATATATATATATATATATATATATATAGTAGTCTATAGTTGAAGCAATAATTAGACAATAATTAGATTATTTATTTCTTGAAATTATTGAAAGACCAATCAACAACATTAGATATACGGATGATTCTGTAAATTTGGCAGAAGATCTTAAAGATTTGCAGAGATCAATTAACTCGATAGTTGATTATATAAAAGAATATGGCATTTTAATACACATTAAAAAACAAAATAGATGACGATTTTAAAATCATAACAAAACAGTTAAAGGTGAAAAGTCAACGGAAAAATTCTTAAAAAAGTGGGGAATTAAAATTATCTTGGCAACATGATCCATTACAGGAACGATTACTTTAAAGAAATTAAGTCATGAGAAGAATGCATAAGAGTACGGAGTACATAATCCAGAAAGCTGCAGTACTTAGTATATTTTATGCGTGGCGAAACATATTACTTGCTTCAATCAGTTATGCAAGGAAAAATTCAGTCAATGAGAAAAAAAGGAGTCTCGTCTTTTAACTAATTTTCGTTATTTTTGAAATACACAGTAAATTCAAAGTGGCCCTTTTCTTCTTCCTTCTTGTATGTAGGATTTAAAGCCTGTTTCTTCTTTAATTGTTAAATTGTTTAAATTGTCGCACCATCTTTTTCTTGGTCTGCCAATACTTCTTCGTCCATTTGGTGACTTATCTCGTGCTATTCGTACTATCACATTTTCTGCCATTCTACTCATGTGTTCGTTCCACTCTTGTTTCCATTTTGTCAGCCATCCATTTATGTCTTCTATACTGCATGCTCTTCTTATGTTTTCGCTTCCCTTCCTATCCAACAGACTTTTACCTGATATTCGTCGGAGTATTTTCATCTTTGTTGTTTCTAGTAGTCGTCTCGTCTTAGATGTGTCAGGTCTAGTCTCCGCCGTGTATATGGGTCTAATTGCTACTTTATAGATTTTTGTTTTTATGTCTTCTCTTAGGTGTTTGTTCTTCCAGATTTTGACATTAAGAGATCCCGCCGCTTTACTTGCTTCTAGGCTTTGTTGCAGTACTTCTTCTTCAACATCTCTGTAACTAGTTATATCTATTCCCAGATATCTAAACCTTGCTTCCTGCTTTATTATCTTCCCATCAATTTTAATTTTACATTGTACTTGGTATTTAGATATTGCCATACATTTTGTGTTTTCTGTTGATATTAACATTGTATTTCTTGGCTGTTGTATTGAAGATGTGTGTTAATCTTTGGAGTTCGTCTTCTGTCTCGACGATTAATGTGGGGTCGTCTGCATAACCTAATATTTGGATTTCTTTGTTCCCCATTCTTTATTCATAACCTTTCCGTACTGCTTGTATTATTTCGTCCATTATTATATATTAAAGAGAAGTGATCTTAACGAGTCACGATGCCTGACTTCTCGCCTGTTATACCCTGTGTTAGTTTTCCATTTACCTTTGCTCGTATTCGATTATGGAAGTAGATGTTTTCGATGGTTTGTATAATATTGATTGGTATGTTTCTTTTATACACTAGGTGTAAGACGTTTTTGATTTGGATGCGAACGAAAGCCTTTGTCAGTTCTGTAAAACATAGATATGCTGGTTTATTGTACTCGATGGCCTTTTCTGTGATTTGTCTTAGTACAAGTACGGCGTCTACGCAGGATCTTCCGGATCTGAATCCTTGTTGTTCATCTGATAAAGTTGTTAGTTTATTGATTTTGTTGGTTAGAACTTTTGTGGTAAGCTTAAGTGCAGTGTTTAGTAGATTTATACCTCT